TATATATATATATATAAATGGCTTACAGAGCCAAATTTGTGTCCCCACGTGCCGTTTGGTATGGATGCATCCCCTTGGAGCCTGGTCAACCTACTAAGAGTCTCACCATTAAACAAGACTGACTCTCCCCTTCCCAGCAGCCTACAGTTGTCAACAGTTCCTCAGATAGGGCTAAGGTTTCTTCCCCACTTCCCCACATCTATGCTGGGATTTTGTCTGGTGTGAGCTTATGGGAAATTTATATGTGCTGTCACCACTGCTGTGCATTCATATGAGTAGCTGACCAGCTGTCTATATCGACCACCTCTGGCTCTTGCAATCTTTCTGCCTCCTCTTCCACAATGGTCCCTGATGGGAGGCAGACGTTTGCTACAGGTGTCCTATTCGGGAATCAGGATTCTGCAGCCTCTTATTCTCTGCATGTTGACCAGTTGTGGTTCCCTGTGTTAATCACCATCTGCTGTATCAGGAAGCTTCTCTGTGAGGCAGGTCTAAGGGAGGTTCAATTGGGGGTTGATCCACAGCTGGAGTTCTACCCTATTACTTCAGCCCTAAAGGCATGCTTTCCGCCCGAGAGCCCTAAGCCCTTGGTGCCACCTCCTGAGGAGCCTTCGGAAACCCTGGCATGGGAATCATGGGAAGGGTTTGAGGAAGAAGGCAGAAATGCAACAGAAGTGAATCCAAAAGCAGCCAAAGTACCAAGCAGCACCTCGGGCGTGCCCTGGCCAGCTTCAGGGCTTCCTGAAACCCAGGAAAACATTCCTCATTTCCAAGATTCTGGCCCTGCTCAGCAGGCTTCTGTGAGGCCATGGGTGGAAGCGTATCCTATTAATGTAAACCCAGGAGGTGCACACCCTGACCCCTGGTATCCCTGGGAGGTGAAGGATTTGAAGGAATTTTAAAAAGGCGGTGGCTGAGGATGGTCCGGGATCACCCTGGGTAGATATTCTCCTCCAAGGCTTGGCTCATCAGCAGTGTACTACAAAGGATTAGCTGGACCTCACCAAAGCAGTCCTTCCTAGCCCTATATGTATTAAATGGTGTGGCCTCTTTAAGGAGGAATGCAGGATACAGGCTGAGAGGAATGCAAGTGCCAACCCACCGGTCCCCATTACCTTTGGGACGTTGACTGGTTCAAGTGACCGTTACGCCACAGGGGAGCAACAGTCGGGCATTCCAGCCCCATATACAGAACAGGTCAGG